TTAAGCCACCACCTAAACACGTTTTTTGAACCACTTTAAAGTGCATAACGTTTATATCGTGCTGTTAGTTCGTACAACTGTCTTGTCTTTTGGGTTCCCAGACACTTTCCTGGTTCATGCTGCAGCTGTCAGTACCACAGCAATAGCACTGGAGGAAAACACCCTTTTTGACAATTCCATATGATGTTGCATCCATAGGGTCCGCCTCCTTATGAGGCGGAAGGAGGCGTTGTGAAACAATTAACAAGATACTGTCATCCCCACAGCCATGACCCACTGGAGAACCCCTGGTCGCATACCGGGGTTAAGCCAAATTCCTCGTGGCCGGCAGTGACCTCAGGTATAGCATCACCATCTGTGTCATTTTGCCGATCTGTTATTGGCCCTTTACATGCAACATCAATTTCAGCGGCATTGTTTATGGTGTCAGCGTGTGCTGCACGCAACCGTGCAACTCGTAACGGTCGCTTTCGACTGTGACATCTGCATCAGTCGCATAGGCTGCTGCTTCGTTACAAAATGAAACGCCAAAGCCAGTGCAGTGCAGGTGATAGCTAGCATGGCTTGCGTAAGACACCTCAGAAATTTGGACATTATTGTAATGTTTCGGTGGTCAAAAATTTGGTGAGCTTAAGACAAGTGGATCACTTTTTATGAAGACAACGTCGGAGAGATTTATTTGACTTGTGAAACTTAACGCGGTTTGACCAAGAGCAACACTGGGGTGTTGCGAAGTTGCGGCTTCGAAGTGCAGTGCAGTTGCAGTTGGTGCAGTTGGTTCAGTGCAGTTGGTGGACTGCTTAAAACAATAACAATTTTAATAAACATGGTTTCTTAGATATTGTAAAAAATGTCGCAGAGTTTCCAAAATGTCAACAACATCGCAAAAGTATATCCTCAACTTTTTGGCGCATCATGATGTAATTTCGAACATCTGAATCTGTAGACACTCGGCATAAATTTTTCATATATGAAGACAATCGGAGATCTTGGAGACCACAAACGGTGTCATGCTAGGACTTAAACCACCTTCACTCTGCAGACATATGCAAAGTTAAAAAGACAGCGGCAAGCACGTGATCCGGCCTTGTTCGACCAAGACTGACGGGTCAATCATGAAATATTGTTAAAAATAGATAGGGGTAAAAATGTAATGAGTATTCCTTGAGCTACCACTCAATTATTTTGGGTGTTGACAGACAAGACCCTCAAAAACAAATATTTTCTTTCCAAGTAGTTGGAACAATGCGACAATCAGATGATATATTCATGCATTATACCATTTATATAAACTATGTAATTGCGCCCGTGCCTACCACCTCATAGAGGCAAGGATTTCTCAACAGAGAACAGGATGTTGCGGTATTCAGTGCAGCTGTACCATTGAATTAAGAACGCTTTTGACTCGAAGGCCGATACCGGTCCGGATCCATCAACGCCAGAGATAGATATAATAAACTCGCCATAAGTCAATGATGCTTACATCGATTAAAATGGACGCAAACACAACGAATACCCATAGTGAGCTAAAACCAACGGCAGCCGGGTTACAGCGGAAACCGGCCTGATACTACGTGCACGCGTGGAACTCAAACGCCCCCTGGAGACTGCCCGTGCGCAGCTTTCCACGTCATGTCCTTGGCACGCGTTTTGCCACAGCGGAACAGAACACGCCATCAGTGGGCCATTTCACAGGGAATGCAGCGCAGCGTCGCGAGACTCTTTCTCATCACCAACAAGCGCTCAGAATGTATTCTCACGAGTGCTCTGCCACGGGAAAACAAGCGCGAAAGCCGGTCACGCCACGCGCCGCCGCCGCACGGCGCTCGTGCTGCGGTCGGCCACGACATGCGGGGCCACGCAGCCCGCCACAAGGGCCATCGGCCGGCAGATGAGGGCACCAGGGCAGATAAAGCTCCGCTGATCATGACGTCATTAGTTTTGTCGGCTACCAGAGAATTGGAAAATTTTATAAGGGGATGACAGTCGTCTTGAAGACATGCTTCAAATATGTACGAAATGAAAGGAAATGCCTGAAGTTTGAATGATTCTCCGGTTCGCTCAAGTATTATGTGGTCCTTTTGTGTTATCACTTCATACAAATTTAAGTCACCTTGATAAGTATAGAATTTTTGTTTCGGGTTGCTTCCAAAGGCGGATTAAGCACATACCCATCCATACTATGCGGACGTAGTGGAGAGAACTATGTTTTAAACTAGTCGAAATGCCCCGAAGGTAACATCGAGATACCCACGCCTCAAATTAGCTCGAATAACATGAAGTGAAACGGCTAGGAATAATAACCTGAATCTGTCAGAGGTCTGTATGAGTACTCCGGTAGGCATGTTGTCAAGCGACAATGTTTTGAACATTGTGCTTTGTAAACTTTCGTGGTAACCATTTATATCTGAAACCATCTACACTTAACATGCTTTTGCAGTGCTCTATCATATAAGTGGAAAAATGATAAGGTTAACATTTATCAAGCCACTGCTATGAATGTGTGGAAAATATATTGCGCAAGAATACAATTGTATCCTGATTGCAGCACTTGTTTTTGTCTGACGTGTCAGTTTGGAATGCATGCCTGCATTGATACCAGTGCCGAGCGAAATCACCCACCCGCTCATTTTTGCAGAACACACGTCTCTAACCTGGTACTGGGCCTGGTCCATGAGAACGTTGATGGCCACCCGCATTCCAATGCTGCGCCATATTAGGTACTCCAGGTTTTCAGGCCCTTCGTTGAACTTCGCCATCATCTCGGACATCACCTGGTCAGAGGACAATACGGTCAAATGGCGGATCAGATTAGGTCAGATGATGCATCACCACACGGATGTATGCAGTGGCACTCAGAACGAACTTGAGTCAAGATAAAGGCTGATAGAAATAATTAAACGATATTGACGCTCGGATCGCCGGATATTACATAACATGCAAACTAAATCTAAGATTGGTGGTATAGCATTGACAAATTTATGGTGTCATCAACAGTGGCTGTTCTCATCGGCTATCCGCGTCATCGCAAAACAAATAAAATTCACTACCGAGATTGGACGCGAACCATATGCCAAGTTTCAGGAGATTGGGCATAAAGACATAATCACTTATACGGCGATGTGCATGTAGGGTTACTATCTGCTCGCATGCTCAACAGAAAACAAGCCCGACGCCGCCGGCTCGAAGAAGCACGTCAGCTGACACTTGGTCTCGAACACGTGCGACCTTCTCGCCAGCCGGACACAGTGCTCTCTCACCTCGTTGGGGATGTAGTAGGCCTGGACGGCGGTCTCGCACTGGACACTGGCGTCCCGCGAGCGGCCGGTTAGCAGGCCCACCTCGCCCACGACGTTGCCGGCTCCGATGTAGTCGCGCAGCACCGTGGTGTCATGCGCCGGCGACATGATCTCCGAGTTGGGCACCAGGCCCGTCTTTTGGATCTCCTGTCGTGGAAGCAGACAGACAAGCGTGCCAGTTTCGGGGCGGCCTTGTGAAAAGCTCGCGGTTATGCGAGAACATGCGTGCATGGCTGAGGCGTAGAACAACTGACTCCCGTAACGAGGTAGAAAAAGAAGAAATGAGTTGCTGTGGAGATTCGGTAATTACGCTCCATGCAGAGAAGCTATCAAAGAGAAGGGCAAAAGAGAGAGTGAGGAGAGAGAGAGAGAGAGAGAGAGAGAGAGAGAGAGAGAGAGAGAGAGAGAGAGAGAGAGAGAGAGAGAGAGAGAGAGAGAGAGAGAGAGAGAGAGAGAGAGAGAGAGAGAGAGAGAGAGAGAGAGAGAGAGAGAGAGAGAGAGAGAGAGAGAGAGAGAGAGAGAGAGAGAGAGAGAGAGAGAGAGAGAGAGAGAGAGAGAGAGAGAGAGAGAGAGAGAGAGAGAGAGAGAGAGAGAGAGAGAGAGAGAGAGAGAGAGAGAGAGAGAGAGAGAGAGAGAGAGAGAGAGAGAGAGAGAGAGAGAGAGAGAGAGAGAGAGAGAGAGAGAGAGAGAGAGAGAGAGAGAGAGAGAGAGAGAGAGAGAGAGATGGATAGAGAGAGAGAGAGAGAGAGGGAGAGACGTAAATCTATCGTGGCCCGTCTTCCATGCATTTGCATAGGAGTTAACGTGTTCTTGAAGGGAGGATGACCGAAAATTGATGGGAGGGGCAAAGCCCCTCAAACAGATATGAAATAATCACCATCCATGTTTGTAATCAAATAAGGCATTTTAGGGTGATATGTGACATTTCTGCCTGGGCGATTTCTATCTGGTTCGTAATTCTGCAAAAGCAGTTCGAGAGCTGGGATCTGAGCACAGAATAATGGTTAAACCCCCCCAAACTAAGCAAACAAAAAATTAACACTCTCTAGCACCCCCACCCCCCCCCCCCCACCCCAACCGGATAGGAAAATACACCCCTGCGCATAGCATTGATGCTATTTTGATATTATGCACCCAACTGGTCACCTGTTGCGTCTTTGAAATATTTGGTGGGACATGAAGTCATTATGCGCTTTGTGTATTATTGGCTATGGTAAGGTGTAGGTGCATCCAAAGCGCATAAATTTTACCGTCACTTTTTGCGTCACTCTGGTGACCCAGACAGAAAAAAAACACACGTTACATTGATAAAGTCTAGCGTTGCAGGGACACTGCGGTAAAAATGTCTTCGCATGTAAACCATACATCTGAGTGTTTAGAGTTCGGCGCACCGCTGCCACAGTTTTTGACCCACCGAGTGTCAATGTTTCAGGGAACTATAGTGTTGTGGAGGTAGCTTCAGGCAAAAATAACCCGGAACATTTTTACGGGCAAACAATTTGACTATGCATTGCAACTGAGCCCGGCCTCAAATCGCCGCACGCAAGCGCGAGGTTCGGCGCACCAACGTTGCGTAGGTGACCGGCGCAGTGAACGGGATTTTCGCGGATTGATACTCTGTCAAACTCATCTGGTGCTGCCGCTCCTGCCTGCAATCAGCTGATCAAATCCGAGATAGTCGTTAAACCTTGTGCTAGCACTTCAGCTTCCACTTCAGTCCCGTACGAGCGATAAAGGTCACATGATCAGGCACGTAGCTCAACTTTTCTCCAGGGGGTCAAGTGTCAAACTTCTCCGAAATCCTGCGGAACTGAATAAAAGTACAAAATTGCCCACTGTGTAGTGTAAGCTTCTTGACTCATGAAAGGCCATGACCCCCCGTGGAGCCCCCCTCTTAGCTACGTCCCTGCACACAGTGACGTCATGGTGTTCATGCCAAGGAAGACAGTGAGTGCGGCTATAAACGTGAGAGACGTGTGAGCGAATGGTGGGGTGCTGTTTAATGACGTTGATCGACTGATTTTCGGGGGCTGCTGCTATCTCAGTGATTTCTACAATCCTTTCCTCGTCTCGTAACACCTAGACCGACGCCGGCAACTACTGCACCATGACGATCGCGGTGTTGTCCCTCGTGCCAGTGCGCTACGTCGTCGCAGTCATGATCTTGCTCGGCATGCTTTTCAACTACATGATTCGCGTCAACATCAACCTGGCGATCGTGGCGATGGTGAACCACACGGCCGTGCCGGGTACCAACATCACCCGCTCGCAGGAGTGCGGCGGCAACGTAAGCGCGTCCTCTTCCAACGAGCCGCAGCCGGATGGGCCGTTCGTCTGGGACGAGACCATCACCGGGCTCATCCTGGGCGCCTTCTACTACGGCTACGTGTGCACGCAACTGGTGGGCGGCCGCTTGGCCGAGGCCACCAACGCCAAGCACACGTTCGGCGTGGCGATGCTGTTGGCGGCACTGCTGACGTTGCTGACACCGTTGGCCGCCAACTGCGACTGGCGTCTCCTGGTGGCGCTGCGCATCACCATGGGCCTGGTGCTGGGGGTCACATTCCCCGCATCGTACGTGCTGCTCGCGGCCTGGGTGCCGCTCGGACAGATGAACTTCCTGGTGATGCTGGCACAGGGCGGCGGCGACCTGGGCACCACGTTCACGCTGCCCATGACGTCGGCCATCATCCAGGAGCTTGGCTGGGAGGCCGTCTTCTACGTGCAGGCCTGCTTCGCATTGGTCTGGTTCGCCGTCTGGATGGTGCTGGTGACCGATTCGCCCAAGAACCACTGGTTCATCAGTGCCGAGGAGCGGACTCTGATCGCCAAAGGTATTGGGCCGCGTGTCTCTGCCAGTCAGCCGCCGCTGCCTTGGCGCCAAATGCTCACCTCCGTTCCTATGTGGGCCTACCTCATCGGGTACTTCGGCGCCTGCTGGTGCTACTACAGTCTGCTCTCCGACCTGCCGCAGTACTTCAGCACCATGCTCGGCGAGGACATCTCGTCCAACGCGCTGCTCAACTCGCTGCCGTACCTGGGCTTGTGGCTGTTCACTCTGTTGTACGGATGGCTGAGCGACCTGCTAGTAGAGCTAGGCTGGCTGCGACTGATAACCGTGCGCCGGCTGGCGGGGCTCATTTCGCTCGGGCTCCCATCCGTGCTGTTGGCCATCATCGCCTTCCTCGGCTGCCAGACAACGGCGGTCGAGTCGCTGCTCGTGCTCACCATCGTGGTGGAGGGCGCAGGCTACAGCATGAGCGTGTTGCCGCTCGACATGGCGCCCAATTACGCCGGCACGATCGCCGGCATCGGCAACACGCTGGGCTCCATGCCCGGCTTCCTCGGACCGCTGGTGATCGCCGCGCTCACCGAGGGCCACGAGACGCTCTCCCGCTGGCGTACCAGCTTCCTGATCGCGGCTGGTATCGGCCTGCTGAGCGTGGTCGTGTTGCTGACCGGCTGTAGCGTCGAGAAGCAGCCCTGGAACAACGCGCCCAGCGGAAGCGGTGGCGCCGAGGATGGGCGGTTCTCTGATGCGTCCGGCTTGACTACTTTGAAGCCTGTGGTGATGAAAGAACTCGGCCATGAGCAGGTGGTCAAGGAGTGCGAGCCGGGAAATATGGACTCGCAACTATAGGTGCTGTTGACACAACAAATTGTGGTTTTAATCTTGCGATGACGACGTCTTTAATTGCTCTAAATATTTGTCGTTGGCAACTGCTCAACCGGCAACTGGACGAATCTGCTTACTTGGGGGTGCTCACCGAGTCAAACGATGTCAAACCACGTTGGCTGGGCCTTCATATCATTCGTAGAATGATCACAACAAACCATCGTTTGAGACTTCTCGGCATGAAAGAATCTAGCATCGGCGAGAAATCTCATGCCGAAACGAAAACTGTTCTCGCGTATATAACAGAAAGTGCACATAGGGCGAAGTTTTATGTCGCAGGAACTACATTTTGGTCGCTGCACCCGGTCTGCCATGGCTCTGACATGCACTCAGTCCGAGGGTGTGTTTCTGACTCTGGACTCAGACCGGGCCGGGGAAGGCAGGACGGGGGACGCCCCCGCTGTCCGGCGCATGCCCAGCCGTTGCTCTGAGCAGATCTTGCATTCACCGCTGCCGGAACGCGAGAGCCTAGTCAAATAGATTAGGGTTTGATGAAGTGTTACGGAAGTATCGCATCGTCGAATATGCGTTTGTTTATGTGCAACAGCAAGCTGCAGAAATTTCAGAAAGCGAAGCCACCTTTGTTGTTGCACGTAGGCCATGGCGATAGGGCTTGGATGCACCGCTCTGATCATAATTTTCCGCTGGTTTGTATCCTTGGTCTTGTGTATATGCATTGTGTGAGACGCACAGCTTGACACTGGCGGCATACGGTGCATGCCTTTACGTATGTGTTCTTGTCTTATTGTAATGCGGCGCACTTTCAAACTGAGGTGTGACAATGTGCCCTCGGAAACAGGCTCTGGTGGCAACATCTTCTGCGTTGTGTTGTGCCTATTTTTCTATGTTATTTTTCATGCTTAGTTTGGTTAAGAATGTACAATGGATTGGTAATAAAAAACTGTGACCTGAAAAGCCAGCCCAAGAACATCGCTGTAACTTCATGAACATTTTCATAACGATAGATTAGAGGCGCATCGGTGTTTGGAAAACGAAATTTGCTAAGGGCGGGCATATTAAGCGTCCACCATCTATGACAAATTTTGCTACTGACTTTCAGTGCTTTCAGCAGCGTTGTTAAGTGCTAACCATATTAAATACATTGGAAAGGATTCATGAGCAGAATCACGGATGAGCTCATAAAACAAGACGGATATAAATTGGACCAACATGCAGAGATCGACGCATATCCAACAACCGCGAACTAAATACCTGCGGTGCATATATCAGGGTCCCACGAGCGTCCCCTTGGATAACGTGAAGTGTAGTTAATTGAACTAAATGGTTCAATCAACTATCAAACCATAACATGAACAGATCCACAGCTGAGAGGCTAGAAAATGGAGCTAATGGAGACGAGGAAACGGAGGCATATTTCACAAACGGATCCCGAGACAGTGAAGGCAGTTCAGCTGTTTTCTCACTTTGCCTGCTCCTGGTAAGTACTTAGCTCTAGGCAAGGAATTCTCACACAAACAGACAGGAAGACGGATGAGCGGACGGACAGGCCAACGGGCCGGCCACTTGACCCACCTCCTGAAGCTGGCCTAGCTCCCGGCACTCCACTTTCAACATGCCCGACACCACCACGTAGATTCCGTCCGAGGTGTCGCCCTGGTTCATGATTTCGTTGCCAAAGTCCAGATTCACGAGCTGTGCGCGGCTCTGAAAAACGGAGGCGACGCCTATGTGAAACGCTGACATGGCACGCCGGACGGAAAATGTCCGATCACCGCCTGGCTAGCCGCGCCAGCCGAGCATCAACGGTGGCTCAACATGGCAGAATGGTTAGAAGCCTGGCGAAAACATTGGTGACGCGTATCAGGCGCGAAATTTTCGCAATACAGTTGCTGACGGACTGCAAAAATTAATGCCTCAAGCCTGAGGAGCCATGCCTAACATGCAAAGTAATGGACGCATTGGTACGGCGGGGTGCGACGGTGGAGAAAGCCATGTTTATCAAATATCACGCAGCACGACATGACTCGAAGAGTTTTCACATCAGTTAACTCGTCCGGAGAACGATATGCTTTCTCGCTTCAATGAGGAACCCTCAAACAAATGTAAAATAGATAGCTTGCGATAGTAGTTCGCTTTACGGTGGCCTTGACCAGTGCCGGTAATTTAATGTTACACATCCGGACAACAAGGCGCCTGTCATTTTCTCATGCCGTCCTACTCTCGTTACGCAGTTGAAAACTGACAGGTGTGCCATGACCCTCATCTTTAGCTATCGAAAAGTGGGGAATGATATTCTACTTCCATGTCCTATACTTAATGGTAAAATACATACGCTAGAAAACGTAAAAGACCACACAAAATTGGGATAATGAGACCTGGTTCTGAGGCCTGCAAACACTCAGGGCTGATGTGCTGCTTAAAGCCAGCAAGTAACCTCACCTCAAGGTGGTCAATGAGCTCCTGGTTCTTGCCAACCCAAGGGATGTTCTTCAGGAGCTCGGTTGGCGGAAGTGGAGGTAGGTAGGGCGGAGCCACCATCAGTAGTTTGACGCGGTCATCAATGATGTGCTCGAGTCTGCCGTACTCCGCTTCGTCGAGAAGACCTTCCCACAAGCAGTATCCATGCTATCAGGTGCTCCCGAGACCTCTGGCTCATTCCGTGGTTGCCCTCAAGTCAGTAACGTAGACGAGGTGGCGCTTTTTTTTGTCCTTGCCCTCCTTTCTTTGGAGGTGACGTAAGCCCGTGAGACTGAACGCCAAAGTAATTATTGACTGTTTAGGAGGGCTTCTGACCGTTTATTCCAAAATGCATCAAACGTTTATGTTTTGATATATATATATATATATATATATATATATATATATATATATATATATATGTACATAACGTATATAGCTCATATATGTATTACGGCTTCTAGCCGTTTGTTCTAAATTCTATAAAATCACCATGTATCAAAATGGAATCCTGAGCCTAAAAAGGTGGCACGAATCCAAAAGCAGGGCACTACCACCAAGCAGAAAATATCGCGGCCTGGTAGTGCCTACCATTTTCATATCTGGTGTAAACCATCGTTATCACGTGGCCAAATCGCCTTAGTCCTGGCGTGATAGATTATCGCCACCTGGTGAGACATACCACCGCCACCTGGTGAAAGATACCACAACACCATCTGGTGGCGTATGCCATCACCACCGGAGAAGGAAGAGTTTTAGTACGTGAAGTACGTGAAGAGTTTTACCGCTCTAACGAAACTCATCACCGCTACCTAGCGGCAAAAAATACAACTCCCAGTGCGATCCACCACCACCACAGCCGGCGGCGCCAGCCTCAGCCGGTTAACCGCGGTTGGCGCCTCTACTGACCTCCCTCCTTGAGGTCCGTGATCGTCTCCCTGACGTTGTTCAGCACGGAGCGGACCGCCTGGCGCGTCTTGACAGCTATGGCTATGCCAGGGTGTTCCCGCTGCAGCATGCCCAGGTCCCTAATCACCATCAGCCTGTGTGTATGTTTGGGGGGAGGTTACTCGGATCATTGTGGCTGTCGCAGCCTGGAATAGGCAAGCTATGTATTATCTGCATTTGCATGACAGCCGCGCAAACCTCTCCGGCATTTTCGGTCCAAAACCACAATTTTCTTTATTCTGGACGACTCATTGGCGTGGAACCCCGTGCGTTATTGTCGTTGGCGCCGGTGTCGCATGTGGTAGATTATTTCCGCTTCGAAAGCTTCCAGACTCACCTGCTCTCGTCCGATAGACGCTTCAGGCTTTCCAGAATCTGTTTGTGATCCACCATGTGGTTGAGATACTTGGATACCTCTTCCTCACCCACCACATAGCCCTTGCCAATGTCGTACCCCAGCGACAGCCGCTGGTTCACCTGCCTATTCAAGAAGTCGAGAATCCGCGGCACCGCCGGCTGTAATGAATGAGACGCAAATATTAGCATCTTACTGATCTAGCATACCATTAACATATATCGTGAGGTTAGAGTTTTCAGTTCCTTTCTTCGCGCCAATTTATTCACAGTAATGAAGCAGACATGCACTACGTTGACATGAGCCATCGCATTTCAGCAAACCTGATCTACGTTATCTATGTTTTTCATTTCGATCACACATAGCAGCGTTTTGAAACGGAAGCACGCATCCGACGAATAAGTTCAAAAAGCGGACATGTTTAGATTTAGAAAGGCACGAAGAGGAAAACCTTATCACATGGCAACAGGCAAAGGTGCACAGCGGACCTGCATTTTTTTGCACTGTTCGAAACAAAATGATGATTTGGATGTTCCAGTATGTATGTCCCAGTTTCCCGCCACTTCGTTCTGACCGCCCGCATGATCACATCCATCGCATAATCATGAACCATGGCCCATTTTCCACAGGAGGAAAACGGCTTCTGAGCCGACGTGACCCCGTGACCTCACAGGCGGCCCCTAGCTCGGTTCTGGTCCGCGTCGCCGTACCTTGATGAGCCGCAGGACCCGGGTGAGGCGAAACAGACGTAGGAAGCGGATGTTACGCAGGATGGCCGGACTGAGGATCTTGTACTTCTCGTCGACGCCCTCCCGGATGACCATGTCGCAGATCTCGAACACGATGTCGGCCACGGAGAGCAGCACCACCGCGAAGTCCAGCTTGTTCCAGTGCGAGTGCCAGTAGTTGCAGAAGCCGAGGCCCAGCACCTGACCACGACGTTTCCAGCAGTGACACACCAGGAAACTGGTCCGAAAACACATGTTTCCCATGTAATGGTAATACATGAGGTGATTGTTGAGGAAGCCATGCATGAAAACCCTTGCATTTCGCTTCGTTAACACGCGCCCGGGTTGCCGGTTAAATACCCTTCGCTCGGGTGGGCTGGGGATGGGCAGTTTGACTCCCCGAGATCTCAAAAATTGAGAGAGCTAGATATAAAAAGTTTCACAGAGTGGGTTGGTCTGCATGTGATCTCACATGTGTCAGCATTTCAAAACCCTAGCTCGTGACCTTGGGGTTAAATAAGGTCAAACAAAGTCAAACTTAAGATTGGTGTCGGAAGTGCCCCCCCCCCCCCTCCCAAGACCTCCTCATGCGAGTGTCTTTGACTAGCTAGCTGCTCTCAGCAAATGTCACTAGTTTCCATTTAAGGTCAGTTACCTTTTTACCTTTCGAAGACCAAGGTGCCCAAAAAACCTACGGGATCGCTTTTTTACTATTTGGATAAGTGTCAGCGACTGCGCTGGCGGTGTGTTCCAGGAACCGACTGTTGACCTGAGTCATTTTAGGTCAGTAACCTACTCTGACCCTTAAAAAGTCCATGAAACATTCTGTTGTGGTCCCCGTTATTCACGAATGCGAAAGGAGCGCCAGAAACTACAACATAAAGTGTAAAAAAAGCATTTCAATGGAATTTGCTGCAACTTTAAATCAAATTGTAGTATTGTCTAAGAAACAATGGCAGAGCTGTATGGCTCCGTCTAACACTCTGTTGTCTCATCAGATCGAATCATTCCCTGAAATGATCTTGGCTGAGAACCACAGCCTGCCTTTGACATATCATTGGTCAGCTAACTTACAAGGTGCATCTAATTTTACATGCCAAAAGATCCGCTATTCAATTGCTTACAGCTATACAAAGTTTGGCGTGGCTATACCGCGATTTTGGAAAAACCTTGAGGGGTCAAGTTGACCCCCACCTGAGGGCTCTTAAGTGAAACAAAACGGCGTCCTAAAGCCACGATGGACACTGCGACTAGGTCCCACTAAGACTATCGGCGTAGTTCTTCGCTGCCTATCTCCACTTGAATCACCGAACGCTGACAATACTTGGCACAACGCCAAAAACCACGCGGGCTCTCTGAGCGCACAGACTTGCGTTGTAAGTGATGCGCAATCAAGAATTGTTATTTTAACTAATCAGCACAATTCACGAACCGACTTGTACGGCCAGCTCGCAGTTTGTCACCTTGAGCACCGCCTCAGCGACATAGAAGACGAAGAAGAAGATGTTGATGCCGAACCGCAGCAGCTCCAGCTGGCGCAGATTATGCTCCTTGGTGTCGTCGCGGCCTACAGCGCGCCCAGCGCCAGAGGCGCTGCTGTTCAGGCCCGGCGCGGTCGACATGATCGGCGTCTGTGTGGTGCTGTGTGGTGCCACGGTGGACGACGCCGACGGCTCGTCGTGATCGTGGTTGCTGCTGGCGCCGTACCAGGTGGTATACTCGAGTATCATCAGCACCATGTTGAGTAGGATCACGCTGTAGACGAGCACCTCAAACCAGGTAGTGTTCACCAGTTTGTGGTAGATCACCTGGAGGTGAAGATGACGCACTCAAAAATAGAAGGTCGGGATATTGAAAGTACATATTGGAATATACTGAAAACGGCTATGTCGCGCTACGTATGGCGTCATGCATCATGACACGAGACGTGCAACTGAAGATGTCATCTTTTCCTTGGTTTCTCTCATGCCATGCCACAACGGTACAGCATAACTCAACCGCCCAGTTTATCTGGAATACAGGCCGATGCACTCTAGAACTATTCCCGGCTCATTTGCAATTCAAAGACAGTAGCACGAGAAAGTCGCTGGTGCTCTGTTGGGTATGATTCAGCCGTTATGACGCCAGTGGAACGTTCTCAGATGTGCATGGAATGGTGATGCGACTGTCACCTGTCGGAACTTGGCCTGCGGCAGATCCTGTTCATCCTCGTCCAGCTCCGTTGTTTTGGCTACCGACTCGAGTCGCTGCCGCATCCAGGCGAAGACGCCACGTACCTGACCGTCAAGAGTTATAACCTTTTAATCTGCATTTAGCACGCGCCATCAACCACGTAACATATAAATGTGAAAGGAAACGAGCCCATAGAGACGCTGCCGCATTCAGACGAAGACGCCTAGTACCTGACCGCCAAGAGTTATAACCTTTTGATCTGTAGTTGGTACGCGACATCAACCGAGTAACACTTAATTGTGGAGGGAAACGAGCCAATAGACGGCTTTACACTCAGATGGACGCGCACACACCATGGATACACCATTTAATATCGAGCTAACGTCAGTGTATATTGGTGGGCCAGCATCGCGTCGGCAGCTAAGCAGCTGAGGTCGAGAAAGCCTTCGGAGGCGGACGGCTTGGGACTAATGAGGAGGCAGCCGGCCTTACCTCCCAGGACTTGCGTAGCTCGTCAATGGAGAGGAAAGCGCCCTCCATGTCGGCTGCCACCTCGGTGGAGCCGACCAGCGTGCGGACGGCGTCGGCACTGATCATGCCGTGCTCGAACTGGCGCCAGTACGAGATCTGCAACACGGGACGCGCGTGACCGCCGACGGCCGAGCAGAGCCGGCGGCGTCGCGGCGTCTTCGGCGAGCGCGACTCATCGGCGCCCTGTCATCGGCAGGGCGCCCCAGCTCGTCCAGGCGGCCTCCCCTCCCGACGTCTCACCCGCTCGACTTGTAGGTAGCGGCGGCGCGCGTCGTCGAGCTCCTCGTAGGTGGGGCCCTCGTCGGGAATCGACTGCTCGTCCTCGTCCTGCTGAGCCGACCAGTTGGTGCTGCTGGTCACGAGGACGGCCGGCTTGTCGTCGGCCACGACGAGCGGCGCGGAGGTGTCGGCCGGCACCGCCTCGCCCGTCTCCGAGTCCACCTCGCCCGACTGGAGACACCCGGGCCCGAGTTACCGGTTTCCGGGGCCGGCGCCAGGCGGAGCCGTCAGGATGGTCCGATGGGGCCGAGCTACGGGCCGCGCGCGCTGCTTACGTTGTCGACTGAGGGTCTCACGAACAGAAACCGGTAACTCGGGGCGGGAGCATCCTGACGGGCCGCCGCTCTGTCTGTCATGCATCCTGACGGGCCGCCGCTCTGTCATGCGTGAGCACCACGCTTGTGTGCGGTCTCAGCCAACCAGTGTGGTGGCACCCAGTCCACGGACTCGTCGCTGTCGGATAGCTGCTAAGCGGACGTGGTCGATGTGCACCACGTCACTTCAAGCAAAAAAATTCACGAGCGGTTTTATATTGGTGCCGATGTAGCAAATGCACCCTGGCCACCGTGAGTTCAAGTGACTGGATATTATCGGAGGTTCCGCACGGGGAAGCTACACCCTCACCTTTTTTTCTTTGTTAAGTGCATCGCTTTAGATGTTTTTTGCGAATAGTTTTGAGCTCTATGCGTTTGTCAGACCGATTTTTCTGCGTACGTGCGTATATGCGTGACGTTCGAACGAGACAATTGCAACTAAAAGCCTTTATTCCTTTAACCTCTTGGTTAGATATATGCTCTACCATTCTTCTCAATGCTGCATCAAGGACATGCCCTTTGGCTAAGTAATGTGGTTTTAACTCCCGGATATGATTTAAAGCCTCACGGCGCTTCCTCGTCTCTTTCCTCTCATGCGTGCCTTCACAGGGACGCCTGTTGTGGTTGAAATTCTTTAGGTCAAGTTTGACGGGGGTAAACACGTTCGTTCTCTCGCTGAGATGCCACATCACAACTGTTCTGCCCCCAGACAAGCCCCCCGAGCTGAACCACGACAGCGGCAATACCGAGCACGACACGCGACCAACCGCGTTGGGCGCCGACATCGAACGCGTCGCTCATTTACCTTCTCCGTTTTGAGGTACCGGACCCGAGCGTCGTTGGCCATTTCGAACTGTTCGTTGGGTGTGGGCTCGTTGAAGACCTTGCTGTTGCACTCGGGGCAGGTGGAGTGTCGCATGCTGGGGTACAAGAACTCGTCGATGAGCAGCACCTTGTCGTCCATGTCCTTGGTGTGGTACGGGTTGACGATGAAGGTGTACTTCTCCACCATGTCCCAGTTGGCATCAGCCAGGAAGCGGTCCATCTTGAGCATGGATATGGCCCTGTGAAGGTAGTCTAGTTGACATTTGGCCATGACAATGAATATCGATACGTAAAACTGAGGGCCGACAGCACTCAGGTCCGTTCCCTGCGCCCTGCAGGATGCAACAGGAACCAACGATTTCATCTTTGCTCCCAAGTTGTCGATAGCGTTGGTAGATAGCCTAGAACTGTCATGTTTCATTGCTTAAATGGAGTGTTACACATTTTCATGGGGGTTCAAACTGAAACAGCCATTTTAAATGTAATTCAGCGTAGCTAGCAGCCCTGTCCTCCTTAAGACATAAAACTCTCTAGCTTTTTTTAGGTATACGCCCGCGAAGAGGTGCAGACTATCTCGTGAAGACTAGTTAAGGTCGTTCAGGCATGCATTAAGTCACAGAAACGCCATTCAAATCCTGCCACTTGATCAGCCATGGTTCGTTCAAGGCCAGCAAGAATATAATCGTCGAACCATTTATATCTCGCGCTCGTGGGTGCGATTTGCAGGTATAATGTTTGTCAGTTGGCTCTCAACCAATGTTTTGCTGGCTGTGTGAGTTTCAATTACGACTGGACTGTTTATTTATTTGGATTAGAGCCCTTACGACCAGAAATGATCATTCCAGGTCTAGGGGGATGAAGGAAGATGGGTAAGCGGTGGGGCAGGAACTACATGCTTCTGAGGGAGGGGGCAACCACCGAGCTTTAACCCGCACAGGAACCCCAAAGGGTGTACGCTGATTGCCCAGTCCCGGTTCCCCCTCCCTGGAGGCCTCCCAGCCTGCTCGTAGATGGTGCATACAGCCTGTCCCGGATCAGCAGAGCGTCGCGAGGATTTATGATGAAGCAAGAAAAGACGATAATAGGGTCCAATCTTCAATCACGAATCACGTTTTGTACTATATAACGCAGGACGTTGGACATACTAATTATTACTAGTGCTAAGGTGGCGACTCCACACGCCTAGTTTGGCAGCGCCCCAACGTCTTACAAAGGTTTCATGACGCAACCAAACAATGACGTGGTGAGGAACATGTTCACTAAACAGAGCAATTGTGTCGTCTAGAGCAGTCTCTTCGATAATGGTACTGATCTTTGATAATGATATGTCGATAATGAAAAGTCGGTTTAGTTCATCATGTGATGCTTGTCATCTTTTTTATCCGATCTGACCGAATGATCCTCAAATGTGGAGCATTCCTTAATTTAATGTCTATTGCACCATTTTTGAAAAAGATCGATGTGCCGTACCAAATCGATGGAGGTTAATCGATGTAGTTCCTGATCGTTTTTAGGAATCAATAATTTCTTGCTGTGATATTAGTGTTCTTTATAAGTAGTATTTTTCCCAATCACTATCATCGTTGTTTACCGTTATCATTGCTTTCACCGCACTTTTCCCTCATTTTATTACTTTCTAATCCCCTTATTCACTCCAAAATTTGCTCACACACAATGCATGATTGACCTTCCACCAGCACCGCGCTGTTTTTATCGATTCTGCTTCATTGGCCGTGCCCTACAGTCGAGCCGGCGTGCTCTCCCAGATCGATACGCTCGTGAAAACAGTGACTTATGCAGGGGACGCTGTCGGCCGGCCTGCGTGACCGATCAGTGCATGTCCGAAAGCTCTCTGGAAGGCTGCTCATCTTCGGCACATCGACCATCGACCGCCGGCAGACGGCTCGGCCCAGTGCTTTGCATTAATGGTCGATATGAGGAACAAGGGCACGATAGGTCGGGGGCGTTGGCAGGCCACGGAGCCGCGCAGAAGCTGGCGAGGCAGGCGACGGTGACACCGAAGTCGTCAGAGGGGATAGAGCAGGAGGGAACAGGGACTGTCTCAGATAACGGCTCATATGCTTGTCATTAAATATTACCGCACAGAGTTAATTGCAGTGGCTGAACCGTCATTGAGAAAGAGGAAGGTCATTGGTTGAGGGTCTAACCTATTCCATTTTATAACCAGGGAAATCAAGACCTATCGACCCGTGTAATCGAGGTTCAGTTCGATGGCTGAATTGCTTCGCCCTTTGTGATGAGCACGGCTGCTCCTCTGACACCGAACACCAGCCATGCCATTCGGGCGATTGATTCCGTCAAATGACAAATTTTGCGATATTCGAACTTCGAGTTCTGGCACTGGTCTTACAGCAGCCGAGTTAACAACGTTCGTTCACAGGGTTCACCGTTCGTCGTGTTGGTTCGGAGCCCTCGTCAGGGAAGGATCTTGTCTGTACCAGTCTTTCCTGTTGGAGATCACTGCCTATGAACGGGATACCAAAGGACCCACCACCTTAAATTTGTCTACGCCATGGCACAGATCCGGATTTACCCGATTTAAAGGATTCGGGTTGCCCATGAAATTAAAGTAATGTACGAATAAATGTGAATGTACCCTGCCGCGACAAGACAACCACCCGGCCTTCTACATCGGCTTCTGCTAAACCTTGAGTTTGCACTGCGGATTAAATGAAAATGAAAATTGAAAATTGACGTAAAATTAACTGGAATGATTGGAGAGATGAAGAATTTAAATAAAATCAACCTGTACTGTAATCCGATGTCATGAAATGAAGTCCAATGGCGTGGATCTCTCGGTCAAAGATCGGGCCTACAAACGACAGCTGTTCCGACCAAGCGAACCACTCGACCGTCCAGTGTACGGACAGCCTAGTGGTCTGTTCACACGACGTTGTTTTACGGACATCGCCAAAAGCAAGTGACATCATGAGAAATAGCATGTCGTGCAATACATACCCGAAAGTACTCAAATTGGGATCCAAGACCGGCTGCTCGTCGCAATTCAAATCATACCAAATGCTCAAACTTTCATTTAAGCCATCTTCTCGACGTGACCAGAGGGGTGATGGGAGAAGAAAGCACGTCCAGTGTGCAGCGGGGAGACTTGTCGACTATTATGACGCAGGCATTCATAGTTCAGAGTTAGGTACTCGCGTCTGGCGCGCGCGCAAAAAAAAAATGCTTGAACAGACTATAAAGCGTTTTCTCTTTTGGCCAAATCAACCGGTCAGATGTCCTGGCGCGTAGCTTAAAGGCATATCTTTTTCTAGAGCGCTTTAACTAAAACAGAAGTAACCGATCACTACATTTGCCACATTGCCAATATCGCTATCAGTCATCACAGTATTCGGTGATAAATTATATCGCTATGGAAACAGCGCCGTTACCATGAGAGCACCACCAGCGTGCGCTGACCTCCATCGGTCTTATGCTGAGGCCAAAACCATGCAGAAATATTGCAGCGTGAAGATAAAATTATTGGCCATTCCAAAAGGTAGCGTATAGCGTAATATATACGCATATAGACACCCAGTGTTGTTTCAATGTGCCCAGTCTCTTGAAGGGATGTTTCACATTTGAAGAAATTCAAGCAAACATCAGATATAATGAAAAAGCTCACTTATAGCTGTTGGTACACTTCTAAGCGGAAACGGCTGCTGTAGAAAACACAATTTTTCTATTCAGTAAATATCCTCTCCAATACGTCATCATTTGCATCATACCTTGCAAACATTGATTGAGAGCCGATGGACGGCCGTGATATCTGGAAACCGTGCTCACGAACGCCAGACATGAACGACTCGACAATTATATCTTTCTCGGTCTTGATCGCCGCATGGCCAATGTGATGACAGCATTCGAGTGATGCGATTATGACGGCGTGGATGGCTGGGTGACCTTGGCATAATCTCTCCGAAATAGTTTGCATATCTTCGCGGACGTGTAGCTCAGAAAGTAGAGGGACTTAAGAAGGGTAGGCCTATGGACTGCTTCGAATGATCCTTAAGGTAGTTTTTTAGTTCAAAACCCCATACCGATACGTTACCAGGAACACTCTCTTTAAACGGCACCAACGCGTGGTAGTCTGTGAAGACGACGGCGCTGATCTGAATAGGAAACGTCTATTACTTGCTCCTGGTTTCCCTGAGCTGCGATATGGCGTGCGCCATAGTTCATCTTGGCGGCCGAGCTAATGTCAGACATGCCGAGTATCTTCAGCAAGGGAGCCGTGGTCGTCCCGTTGATGAACAGCGTGAAGAACACCAGCGACGCCGTGTGAATCAGGAACTAGAAATATCGTTTGTCAGTATCACCAAAGCTGCTGTTCCTGCTGCCGCGCTAGGCTGAGCATGGTGTCGCGCTACCGTTAACAGTCAGTCCAAATGTGAAGGCAATGGCGCGGAGCAGCTTTCTGCGAGTGGAAATGGTAAGTGGTGTAAACATCCAGCTACGTGGACGACAGGAAAGCAGCTTTTGGTCGAAGTGAAGTTCACCTCGGCTTTATCAGTTTTCCATTTCAGCAGCATGTTTATGGCTCCATTCATGCATGTGTTTGTGCATGTCACACGGACAGTGATCATTTCCTAATTCACCGCGCGATTAACCGCACATCAAGCGTGACATCCCAACTTGACTCAATCAAACAAAATGATGGCGTAATTATCCTGCATCTTCACGATGGGTCTCTAGAATCACCTATCTAATCTGAACACAAAATGATAGCACTTTGTCTTTCAAAAGTCGACAAATGTGTCAGGCTTCCCTGCCGACGGAGTACTGCTGACCTTTTCTCCGATGACCTTGTGCACGACCATTTCGTGCCCGTCCGCACCGGTGATGTTGATGGTGCGGTCTGCGGAGGAGCCCAGGTACGGGTCCTGGTAGATGATGAGCGCGAGCGAGAGGCCGACGGCGCCGCGCAGGCCACCCCAGATGATGACGAGCGAGCTCTGCCACGACAAGCCGTAACCGATCCGCGACAGCAGCGGGAAGAACGACATCACCATGACGCCCCTGACAAACGTCAGAGGGAGGCGGCGCGTCAGCTGAGCAGAGAGAATGTGGAACTTGTCGGCGCGGTCCGTCCAGCCAGGCGTGGGTCAACACCGTGTACGGTTTTAAAGTTAGGCTAGTGGAGCGATTTGCACAGGGGCTGATGTAAAAACGATACCAGACAAATATAGCGGTAGTTCGATGTCGGTTGCATGATATTCGCACGTCTACACGGTGATGCATTACCATGGTTTCTAGATAGGCGGCCTCATCACAGATCTTTAAAGAAGCATAATGTACCACCTGGTCACATCTGCGACCCGAAAAACTTCTTTGACGAGTTACCTAACGCTTGCAAAGGGCCGACACATTTCAGCATGAGGCAAATTCGTGTTTTGAATTGGAACGTAAAATGTTGCCGAATTATTAAGGTAGCGCACAAACGTGACGCAAGGATTGTCCACTATTTGAGCCAGGCCATGAGTATGCATATCGAGACAGAGCCGAACCTGATGAAGTTTGCTCCAATGTAGAGTACAAAGATGTCCAGCAGGTCCTTCTTGGTGAACACCACTGCTGCCTGCTCTGTGATAACGATGCCGACGAGGATGAAGATGACGGTGTTAGCCAGATAGGCCAGCATCTCCCAGAACCTGTACGGCAGCCATACGTGATCACGTGCTGTTGTGACGAGGCCATGTCATCGCCCATATGTTTGGTACCATATAGTACATACAGGCATAAACCTGGAATGTTTTTTGATACAAATGATAAGTAATTATAACTATAAATGGAATATTTGCCTGTCTGACACGGCTCATTCTTCCCGGTCAGTAATGAACCCACTCAAGAGTGTGACCCAGTGCATTACAAAATTCAATTCTAACTTGGATTAAGTCGTGGGAAAAAATGCAGCATTCTAAAGGTCAGATTCGGTAATTTCTAGATCCATCATCTTTGAAATCATTCGATTCATTGGATGTACTGTTTTGCCGAAACACTTCGGTAAAACACTACATCTAAATAGTGTGTTGTCTAACACTTGAATGCATAAATCTTTCCCTCAGCATTTTATGCAAGCATTATTTTATTAGATGTAGTTATATCTAAGAAGCCTCTGTGAAAATATGAGACCAACAACACTTTAAGGTTGATTTTTCATTTCAAAGATACCGCCGTCACAGTAGATTTTCGAGGGGCATGGAAACCCAAATCAAATGGTTTATCTTCGAAGAAAACATGAGGCTTTGTTCTGGAATGCTAAAAAATGGAATTCCTTCATAGACCAAACCAGCAAAAATGCGAATGGTTTCAGTCAGAAAGCGCTTCACACGCTCTGAAATTAGCCGTTGCGAAGAGGGAAGATGCTCTTAAGAACACATCTTTGGTGCCCCGTTGCGATTCACTGTACATGTGCAAAGATGGTTCCACTTCAGGCGAAATGGACGTCTTCTTGGAGTTTATGACGACACCGAGGCAGACAACGGCCATCACACCGGATACCTCTGGGGAAAAGATAATAAACTTTGGCGCAAATGCGGCAGGATCATGCGACAAATACGCAGCGTGAAAGTTGAGAGGGAATACTCCAGTGAATATATGATAAAGTGAGGAGCGCCTTTGATAAATATCAGTTAAGCGTCTTAGAAAAATATACGCATTAATCGTTTCCGCGGGAATTGCAGGACCTAAACACTTGAAACTCTGCCATGCCTGCTATCTGTGCACATAGCTTCCTTTCATCCACGTTCAAGAGTATCTTTACTTACTTAAAATGACTTCACCAACGTAGAAAGTGAAATACGCGGCTACGATTGTGAGCGTGATTTCAGATACGGCGTCGTTGAAGATCCGAGAGAGCCAGAAGACGAAGAAATGGCCGCAAGCTACTCCGAAGATGGGTCCGCCAATGGCGATCCGACAAAACTGGCCCAGAATTGGTCCGGCTGAAATGTTACAAGGCAGCCTTCAACACAGTTGACCTGAGCGAACGGGTGTGTAAGGACTGACACCCAGTATGCATGTCTGTTATTAATCAGCTGATTATTGGAAGCGGTTATGTTTCGTTCAGATTGGTCATATCAAAGGAAGCCCGAAGGTTAAGTAGGGAATGCTTCATCTTCAATAGCACAATACCGGGAGATCCTAGGCCCGCAGAAGTCAGGATTCCACTGGCATAAAAAAATGCGACGCTAGTCTTCCATGAAATATCTTACGTTTTCGACCGAAGAAGTGCTGTCGATCCCCATTCCGAGGGGAAACCTCCTGATATAAACGTGACATAATAACGGAGCACCTCGCGGGCGATAGACCGATGTGAACCATGGACCCTCCATATTGACCGGAGAGAGAAAGTTTTGCAACGGAAGTCATCTGAAATGCAATGCAATTTTCCCTCAACAGTAATGCTACTTGCACTTGCCTGCTACTTCAGCCGTTCCTTTGCAGATGTCCAGCATGATGATAAACAGCACAATTGCAGATCCGTCGTTCATCAAGGATTCGCCCTCGATTAACATGCTGAGAGGTTTTGAAGCCCCTGCACAGTGCGAATGGAAACAGAGTGTTTGAACTTGTAATAGTACCATGCATTCACATTCTGAACAAGTAATTGGTCATTAAAGCCGTTCCATCACTCCGCTTTTTTGTGTTGTTTTGTTTTGTTTTTGTTGAATAGCGTGTAGTACGTTTTGGTTTACTTTTCATTTTAATTTGAATGAGTGTACTATAGAAGTGTTTCAAGATGAGTGGTTTCCAGACACAAGGGGTTCATAACGCACTAGATTTTGGCCAACTTTCATCGCCCCGTTCATGTAACGTTAGGTATGAAGGAAACATGGCCGTATGGTGCCCCTGCCTATTCTGTTAAGTCATTCGTCAGTTGGTTGAGCTTACACACAGAAACAAAAAGCTGCATCGTGTGCTCGAGAAAACAAAATCAAACAACTTCGTATAATTGGAATAGATGGATTGCCAGATAGCACCAGTTCTTGTCGTACCTGCCGCGTCTACTGGGTTTCAATCAGATCGGTGAACTGGACGAATGGTTGCACAGAACCAAGGATAGTAGGGTGAAAATTTCATTGTAAAAAACGTAAGTGACAAAATTTTGGCAAAGCCCGGTCCTCAGCCGTTGTGGTAACTGCTTCGAAATATTTGGGAAAAATTATGCCAGATGTGGCAAAATGGTACCAGGTATGATTGACGTCACCGTCTAAAAATTGAACAAAATCAGCAAATATGCTAGGCCCTAATCCCGAAAATGGCCAATGGCCGTATAAAGTGGTCACATTGCGTTGTTGCGAACCCCGAATTTCCCAACCCCGACTTAACATCATATTTCGGCTTGCGTTCGTTTCGAAACAACATCACCATTGAGTAATTTTTGAAAGGTCAGCAGGTCTCAAAAGGTCTGAAATGTCAGAAAGTCTCAGAAGGCATGTCTTTTTTGGGTGTGGTCGGTTTATAAACTAACCCATCGCGATTTGGCAAGTGTTTTGCTGTACCGTTATGTGAACGTCTGTAAACCATCCATTACCGGACGTAGTTGACGCATGTACGGAGAATGGGTATTGTTTGGCACTCGCATTTGGTTTTCTCCTGAACTGGGCCCCTGTAGTTTCGTAAGATTTTTACGGTTAAGATGCGTTTTGAAGTGCGAGCCATGCCGGAAACTGATGTGAAGTGATTCAGGAAGGTTTCCTGAAAATGCATGCATCTGTAGTCGCGGCATTACGCAAATTGCCCTAGTGTGACATGGCTGTTTCAAAACGGACACAAGCAGAAACATGACGTCATATCGCGGTTTGGACGATCAAGAGCTTGCCCGTCAAGATGTGACTGGCTTAAATGGTCTGCGGACTTTTTAGGGATTGGAGCTTAACATTTTTTGTATTATATTTGCATCGGAAAGGGAATAGCACAAGACAAACCGTAAAAAGCTTCGGCAGCGCGTTGGTTTGTTTGGCACGTTTTCAGTGTGCTTGCTTTTTTGCGCATTGGACGTGCCTGTTGCGTTTATATTAGTCACACCCAAGCACTGCGCATGTGACTATTTTTCGCTAGGTTCAACAGCCCACTTCTTGTTGTCTGTCATACTTCGGTGTAGATCTACAAGTCTGAACATCGTTCGGAGTTGGCCTGCAGTTCTGTAATTGTGTCAGTAACTGCCACCTTGGTAGGTGTTTTACACTGCATGCATAAAGGCTTACAAGTGCTGAAACACGCTATGACTGATTTTGAAGGATTTTGCACGGTAATTCCATAAGGTGTGCTTGAGGAACAGCAGGCTTTCTTTGTTGTTCTGTCCCACAGTCATTACAATCTGCGTTCAGCAGCAATGCAGTGTCATGATCGAGACGGTAAACGAACCGCTCCTGAAAAGGGCCAAATAGTAAACACAGAACGCAGTGGTACTCAGCCATAGCTGGCAGTAAAAAAAAAATACAAAGGCACTGCATGTCCGAAAATTTGCGATGGATAGAATCATTAGTCGAGTCTACGCTCAGACGCCACGCTGGCATTCATGGCGGATCTGCTAATAAAAAACACGTTTCTTCGCTGCTTCGTCTCCCTGATGAGTTGATTCAAAGATACGTAGTCTGCACTGTATGAAGCAATTAGGTTATTTCAAAACTGAGACCATTAGGCGTACGTTCATTGAGTGGCAGTTTGCGCGCAAATATACGTAACCCTTGGGCTGGAAAGATTGCTCGGACCTTAACTATTAGCACGCACTCAGGTGGATGCCAATTTCTCCCAAAGGTTTTTTCCAAAGTGATTTCCGAAGAGCGCCGCGTAGCGGCTCCAAATGTTGTGTGACTGCGAAAAATTGAGTAGCAGATCTTTTCCTTCTAAACATTTAAATGTATCTTTTAAGGTCGTTAACCTATGACAGATCAAAAGTAGGTCATGGTTTCAGCAAATGCAATTTCCAGTGAATCATTAAATCTGATGTTAGAACGGAGTATTAGACGAAGCCATACATCTCCGAGATAAATAATTAGGTAACACAACAATCGAATAAAAAATTGCATATACCTAGGGCCAGGTATAAAGGTTTTGGTTAAGATAAAAAACAACTTGTTTTTTTACTCGAGAGGTTGCTGTGTTGGATAGTTCTGGTGCTCATTTTGAATTTATTGGCGCACGGGGCCGAGGCGCACGCCTTCCATGGACTTATTTAGGGTCAGAAAAGATCACTGACCTAAAGTGACCCAGACTGACATTTTCTTTTTATGAGCATTCTACCTAACGTAATCCTTGACGCTTATTTAGATGCAAAAATAAAAATATTCTTTACGATTTTGGTCACCGTGGCCTAAAGCTAAAACATCAATGGCCTAACTGAGCACCAGTGACCTTCTGCTAAGAACAGGTATCTAAGTTCACGGCGGTTATATGAGAAGGTCTGGGGGCACTTTGGACACCGATCTGGAGTTTGACCTTGTTTGACCTTTTTTGACCCAAAGGTCATAATCTAGAAGCCTCAAATTCTGACACAAGTGACGTACGTACAGGTCAACACACTTTGTAAACTTGGTGTCTCTAGCTCTCTAAATTTCTGAGATCTCAGGCAGTCAATTTGACCTCCCCCACCCGAGCGGGGGGTATTGAACCGGCCCCCCGGGAGCCTGTTAAAATGCACAGGCTCTCGGCGTAAGGCCTCGAGCCTTCGCTTTTCATTAACATCAGTGCTAAAAACGGTTACGTGGCCCTGGCAGTAGCTACGTGAACAGAAAGTGGATAGACAAAGCTTTATGGAATATAGTTTGGTTTGATATCATAAATAACTTTACACACAATTGCACGATGCATTTCAAGTGTCCATCAGACAATCGACAGGCAGCATGGCGTAGACGTGGAGATGCAAGATGCATTTTAGGCTTTTAATGATGACTATGACCCGATTTTTTAGGTTTTCAGCTGCAGTACCTATATTGCTCTGCCACTGTTGGAGTTGAGGGTATGCTTCTTAATGTTTAGTTCGTTAGTTCAAGACTTCTGTTTTTGTGCGACCTCTTTGTAATCACAGACGACTACAAAAGGTAGTCGTCTATATGAACTGTAGTTTAGGTCTTATTGCAATCTCTTTTACATATGATCAAAACCATGCACTTTTAGGGTTCATTCGTGGAAACTATGTAGAACAATGATGGGTCTTGCAGGGAGTCATTGACAATTTAAGGTGGGCTCAATTTTGCGTGTTAGATCCGTAAAAGGCTACCATGCGAGGCGTTTAGATGGGTATTTTGGAGCACAAAATGTTAAACGTGAGTCTAAAAAATCATCTAATCAAGAAAATGTGCTTGTCCTGAAAATTGTTTTCTACGACTTTTGGCTCCATTGCTTCATTTGACCTTTCGCAAGCTACCACGATTATCTCAAAAATAATATATGCTACAGACAACCACAGGGCTGGATTGTGCTGTCTTTGTATCATGGTTATGGGTGCATCACTTATAAAAAAGCGTATCGCTATCACCTTCATGTGATGCAACATCTGACTCGACATGGGCTATGCCTGACATGAATTTTCTGACAACAAAGTGCGTGAGTACGACCAAAATCTTTTTTTCTTTAAATCGTTAGTTCTTAGCAATTTCTCCTTTTGAATATGCAATCATTTTTCTCTCTGAACTCCCTGGCATGGTAGTTTAAGCCCTACAGGATCAAATCACAATTTGGCTCGATAAAAAGATGAACGTACTAGCACCAGTACATTCTGCAGCAGTCCATCGATATTTGGATCCAAGACCGAAAACCGGGCCTTTAGGCGCCGAGAATACCTTTTTTTAAGTGCCAATCAAGTGAAAAAGAATGGTACTTCAGTTATTTTCAAGCTCAGCAGATATCGCTGCGAAAAAGGTCTCCATGTGTCCACACTTCAGTGAGCAAGCGTTTCTGCAGTGAAAATGAATGAGGGATTGCACGTGTACC